CCCCGTGCACTCCCCCCTCCTCCCCCAGGGCAAGGCACCCCCAGTGGCCGGGGGAGCACCCCCCCGCCAAGCACCGAAAGAACATACCTTGAAAACCATTGCTCCTCCCGCCCAGCTGGCTGCTTCAGCTGCAGTTTGGAGAGAGCCGCTCAGCCAGCCGGCAGCTCCCGGACCCAAGAGCAGCGTGGCTCTCTGGTCCCACCCCAGCCCGGTGCCCCCCCTAGAGTGGTGTCTGGGGGGCAGGGGCAACTGCCCCCCCGGTTCGCTACACCTCTGGAGTGGAGGACTCCGGCAGCCACTCCCAGGAGCGACTTGCCAGGTTTATCCCCCTTCTCCAGCAGCTGCCAGCCAGCCTGGCCAACAGCCCAGCGGGAAATTCCCAGTATCCCGCCAGGCCAGTCCGCCCCTGCTGCTGCCTATTCATTTCATTCAGGCTACGTCTGCACTGCAGCCTTTTGTAGACAGAGACAATGCAAATGCAGCGCTCTTTAGCATTTGTCACGCTGTCATTTTCTTGCGCAAAAACAAGCAGTGTAGACAGGGCTGTTTTGTGCAAAACCCCCTTTTGGGCAAGCCCCTGTACACCTTCTTTTTGAAGCATAAGGGATATTGTGCAAAAGGGCTTGTCCGTACAAAATGGCCCCATCTACACTGCTTGTTTTTGTGCAAAAACCTCTTGCACAAAAAGCATCGGCAGAGAATATGCAAATGACAGTGCGACAAATGCTAATGAGCGCTTCATTTGCATTGGCTCTGCTCACAAAAGGCTGCAGTGCAGATGTAGCCTCTGTGACCCTTAGTTCTTGTGTAACAAGATGGTTTTTCTCTAGCCACAGTGAAAGGCCTGAACTAAAGCCTTCCTCTGCAGCCAGACTGAAGAGCAGCAGCCATTAGCTGGAACGCCTGGCGTCACATCCTCACCTTCCATCTAAATGGCATTAAAATACGGTGACACTACTGTGAGGAGGGGATCCTGTCCTAACGGCCCCCCCAGTCACCAGATGCACAAACAGATCTCAAGACGGGTAAAGAAAACTTAAGTAACAGAATTTCATGTGGCAAGAAACTCTACCAATAGCTGGGGTTGTGGAATCCGCATTCTATGATCATTGTTCTCCCTTTCCTATTGTCTGTCTGTGTGATCTCTGTCTGATTTTAACTGTTTCTGTCTGCTGGATAATTCATTTTGCTAGGTGTAAATCAACTAAGGTGGTGGGGTCTGATTGGTGAGGTGATTCTGTTTCAGTATAAAGACTAACAAAACAAGTAGAAGGCATCATGAGCTTTCGTGGGCACAGCCCGCTTCTTCAGATGACCGGAGTGTTGGGTGTGCAGACCCAAGAATAAATTCGGGGAGGGGGGGGGGAG